GTGTGGGGGGCTCCACCAGTTTCTCCACATCGTCCCTGCCCTCTTCAGTTTTTGTCAGACGTCTCCCTTACTGGTTTGGCGTTGGGTGGGTTGTTTTTTGTTTTTTTTTTGTTTTTTTTTAAAAAGGCGAATAAAAATGCAGCAGGATTTTCAGCCAATTAGTGAGATGTGTGTTTAAAAACTGCTCTGACAGGCGCCGCGTCTCCGCGTGCTCCCCAACAGACCTGTTTCTCAAACACAGGCCTGAGAAACTCTTCCTGTTCTTTCTGGACATTTAGCTCATTGTCTCTGCAGGAAAAAAGTTCCAGATTCTGTGGAGGAAGAAGTCTTTGTTCCCGAGCAGAAACTAAATGTTGATATTAATTTACTCTTTGTTTGTTTTACATTGATACGGAGACATGAAACTTATTTTGTACGATTTTTATTGGGTTTTTTTATTTCATTTTTCATAATTCAATTCATCAGATGTAGAACTCTAATTCAGTCTAATTCCTCGGGCTTTAAAGATTTAAGGAATGAAAATATATTAACAAACCACATATTTTTGTAGAGAAGACACTTTAGAGCAGGTCTAACTGTCAAACTCCAGTTCACATGGGGCCAAAATTAAAAACTGGGACGAAGTCGCCGGCCAAAAATTGACTGCAATCGTGCATGTTTTCCCTCCTCTCCAGATCTGTAATGTAGAATTTTTTTTCATATGGAAACAAACTTTAGTTTTATAGAAATATTGTATCTGGAACCAACTGTTATTATTATAAACACATGAGAAATTAAAGTTCCTTTTTACTGTAAATCTTTTTTTTTACAGGCCAAGAACAACAACAAAAAACTAAAATATATGTGCTATCTTATAGCAACTATATAGGATCAATATACTGGCGGGCCAACTCTAGTACACATTTGATATGATCTTGCGGGCCAAATAGAATTATACTGCGGGCCAGAGTTGGCCCCCGGACCTGAGTTTCTTTCGTCTTTGAACCACGGACTAGTACCTGGTACCACGAACTGTTGAAGGATGGATAAAGGATCAATAAATAAATAAATCTACAAAATAAAACATCTTTTAGACTTTATTTTGATAGTACCGCAGTGAGTAAGATGCTTTTATTTTGAAAACAAATTTTTGACCCGGTACCAAATCAGCCACGGACCGTTACCGGTCCACACATCAGGGATTGGGAACCCCTGCTTTAGAACATGGACATTTCCGTGAGACTTCATAAGGTGAAAATTGCACTAAGATGCACCGATGTAAATCACCAGGACTGAATGTTGGCAAGTGGTGGATGGCAGAGCATTAATCATCGCTGCAGCTCCAACACTGATGTAGATGTTTGTGCTCGGTGTCTTTTTTTTTTTTTTTTTTTTTTACTCCTGCAGCTTCTCTCTCCTCTCAGATGATTCATCAGCAAATGCATTATTTATTTTGCAATATTGTTTGAAGAATAAATAATTTATCAACATTATGACAATATCCTGCACAGCAACTGCTTTATTAGGACTGAGGATTCAATGTTTTTTTTTTTGCTTTTTTTTCCTCTCACCGCCTTTCTTACTTCTGGGTCAGAAACCTCAGCCATTAGAGGTTTTCTTCTTCTTCTTCTTCTTCTCTGTATTGATCTATAATGTAGGTCAACTGAAGTCAATACTGCAGCTGGTAACACACTCTTACTTTGGGTTTGTGTTTAGTGATTTCCTTTTTCTTTTTTTCTTTTTTTTTCTCCATGGAACACAGAGACGTGCAGTCTCTCGACATGTCACCTTCACTGTAACAGATGTGAATTATCTCTGTTCCACAGTGTGGATCCTCGTCCTCCTGATAGAGAACGCCGTGGCTCTGGCTCAGAGAACTAAAGGTGAGCTGCGACGTACGTACGTTCTTTTATTTTCCAATAAAGTGTTGTTTCCTGGCTGCTGAACTGAGAGGGACTTATCCTTATCTAGATTGTTCCTTTACTAAATCATTCCTGTCTTACCCTTCACCTTGTTCCAACCTGTCGTTACATCATTGATCCTCACACTCAATAATCCATCCTCTCCCTCTCTCTCTCTCTCTCTCTCTCTCTCTCTCCCTTCCTGTTTTCAGACTCCCTGAGTGAACATGGCGGCCAGAGCCCGAACCCGAACGACTGTGGAACGTGGGTCCGTAACATCAACGGCGGAGTGTTCACGTCACCAAACTACCCCAACACTTACCCACCCAACAAGGAGTGCGTTTACATCCTGGAAGGTACAGCCGACCGATGGCGTGGTTCAAATGTTGCCTGTGTTGACATCACAGCAGTCCTGACCTCTGACCTCTGACCTCCACGATGCTGCACTGATGAGACTGAGACTGATGACTGGTTTTTATCGTGATTTGTACGTAGCTCTGGAACGGTACGTGTTTTGACTGGTGGCCAATGAGCTCCGTCTCAGAGAGATATTCCGGTCTTTGTCTCACCACCGCACACACACCAAAGGCTTTTTATAAAAAAGGCTCTTGGTGGTGGGTGGCCCTGACTTTCGGCCTCGTATGAGTAACGTCGTATTCATCTCTGCCTGTGGCAGAAGATGCTGCGATGGAGTGAAACATAAAGTATTTTATGAAATACTGCAGCATTTTGAGCTTTCGTCAACAACATCGTTGTTTTTATTACACATGATGAGTAAGGTATTATTATTATCGTATTTTTTCGGACTATAAGTCGCACTTTCTTTTATTACACATGACGAGTAAGGCGATATTATTACCGTATTTTTTTCAGACTATAAGTCGCACTTTCTTTCATCCTTTTACTGGGTTTGCGACTTATATATTAAAATATATAATTTCACATGTTTGTTATTTTCACACTGACAGCCACTAGAGGGCACTCTAGGCTTGTGTACCAATATCTGCAACTCCTGTAAGTCGCACTTTCTTTCATCCTTTGTTTGTCAACGATCATCTTTCGTGCAGATCAGATCTGTTCCTGCTCTGGTGCGTAATAGCTCTTGCACATGGCACAAGGGCTCCCCGTGTGGACAAAGACTAACCAGAGCTTCCAGGGATGAACATTCCGTGAACAGCCGCATGTGTGTGTGTAACAGTCGTGTGTGCACGTGTGTGTGTGTGTTTAGCAGCACAGAACAGCCGGTCTGAGAAGCTCCAGATGGAACGTATCGTTTGCTCTTGTTTGTTCTCCAACTGAGTCTGAGTCATTTTCACATCCAGGCTCCAGACCGGAGGCTTTTGTTCCTCCTCGCAGAGAGACGCGGCGCTGCCTACGGAGTAGGGCTACCCAGCTAATCAGATTACTTTGTGATCATAATTTGCGGTTAGCAAGGCTCATTGATTGTGTCATGTCCGTCAGTTCATGGACTTTGGGCTCTTTCCTCAATTAAGCCCTGACATTTGTTTAACGTCTCTGAATGAGTGAGCGCGATGAAAGCTTCTCCACTCCAGTCCAGGAGGAGAGTGGAGAACAACGGCACGTTCACGTTCACGGCGTTCACTCATCTGTTTCTTAACGTTAGCCGTTAGCAGGTTTGTCTGCTAACATGACAAATGTGCGTGTGTGTGTGTGTTTGTGTGTTTGTTTGACTGATTTACCGTACAGTCATATTCTGTTTGACACATGAACTTGTGACTTACAGCTCACAGTGTTCTGCTGCCGTGACTCAGACACAGAGACGTCAGACGGCATCTCCATCTGTCGTCATGTGGTTGATGTTGTGTGTGTGTGTGTGTGTGTGTGTGTGTGTGTAGGTTTTAGACAACTTCTACATCTGAGGCATTCACACAGACAGTCAACTGTTCTGTTCTGTTAAACTTGTGAGGACATCGTACGGGATACGAAATTTTTAAAAATAATGGACAGATTTGAAGTTAAGGTAAAAGTTAACATTGTCTATAATATATACCATATTTTCTGGACTATAAGTCGCACCAGACAAAAACTGCATAATGGAGAAGAAAAAAACATATATTAGTCGCTCCACTGCCCCCTAGCGGCTGTTAGTTTAAAAATAACAAACATGTAAATTTTCAGTTACAGGAGTAGCAGATACTGGTACACACGCCTAGAGTGCCCTCTAGCGGCTGGCAGTGTGAAAATAACTAATGTAAATTTTCAATGGTACTGGAGTAGCAAATACTGGTACACACACCTAGAGTGCCCTCTAGCGGCTGTCAGTGTGAAAATTCTGTGAAAACGTGAAATTATATTTCAGTCGCAAACCCAGCCAAAGGATGAAGAAAAAGTTAACTTAGCATTAACATTATTGGCCTAAACCAACCTATACCAGGTTAATAAATGTTAGACCGTAAACACGGTCAGTGTCAGGGTTTAGTTCATATCCACAATACAGTACAGAGTAGAGCAGAATCACTTTTACGAATGTCATTGGAATCCAGTTGGATCACAGTGAGACGACGGTGCGTCTGATTCCAACACGTCCGACTAAGAGAAGGGAAACTGAGGAAAGAGCTGTCTGTCAAATCTCAGAGGAGGCTGCTGCTGCAGAGAGAGTCGACCGGCTTCACTGAGCGCTGAGTTAGTGCAGACTGAACCACACCATACACTGTTTTCACCCCGGGATGACAAAAGTCTCCATCACAGCCTGGTCATCACAGAGACACATCTGTCTCCCTTGTCCACCCACAGAGACTCTAACCATGTCCCTCTTTCTTTTGCCCCCCCCCCCTCCTCTCCTTTGTTCTTCACAGCCCTTCCCAGACAAAGGATCCAGTTGGAGTTCGATAAGAATTACTACATCGAGCCGTCGTTCGAGTGCCGCTTCGATCACATAGAAATCCGCGATGGGCCGTTTGGGTTTTCACCGCTCATCGATCGCTTCTGCGGAGGAAAGAACCCGGGCTTGGTCACGTCCACCGGCCGATTCATGTGGATCAAATTCACCAGTGATGAGGAGCTGGAGGGCCTGGGATTCAGGATCAAGTACATCTTTATCGCAGGTGGGAACCAACCTGTGGGCTGTGGGACCACCGCAGCCCACCACCTGAGTTTGTCTAATTAAGTAGAAATGTGAAAAATGCTGTCGACTGTCAGCTGGTTGACTGTTCTATAGAACTTCTCTGACCTCAACAGAAAAAGACAAAGACCTCTGCTGTTGTTTAAAATGGAAAAAAAAAATTAAATTCTCTGGTGCAACACTGATATAGGTGACATACACAGCAGAAATATACAGTAAAAAAAACACAAAATTATTTGTCGATAAAATCCTTTATCAGTGTGTCCGACAGTAAAACTTTACCTACCATTTATCAAAACAAATGATTTGCATTGTATGGCCATGGTCAAATATATATACATTGATAGATTATATTTCAATCTGAAATAAATTCAAAAACTAATAATCCCAATTAAATGCATCACTTTTTGACAGCCTCAAAAACAACAGGAAAAACCTCAGCATCCCATAAGGAAAATTTAGTTCATCTTCCATGGAAAACAACTTTTAATCAGACGATGCTGAATAAATCCTCTACACAGAGTATTTTACTCTAAAGTCAACAATGTCCTAAATAAAAACACTTTCTTTTTCTTTTCCTTAAATGTCAGTTTTCTGTCTTTAGCCGACAGCTTTGCTTTGTACTTTATTGGTGCGAAAAGACAGAACGTCAGCAGCCCGGACCCTCACAGGTCGCCCTCTTTGTCTTTCGACTATTTATAACATCACAGACATGTCCCTGCTGTTCGGCAGACGCACACATTCCACATCAGAGCCTCGTGTGTCTGAACGCTGCACGCCTAGAAATCAGCCTCTCCCATCAAGCGATAGATATTAGCTTCAAACAGACGCGTTCGACTTTATCTCTGCTGCCTTATTAGGATCTTATCTCCATCTCGCTGCTTACCTTTTTCTGCTGTGTGTATTGAGAGTGATGTGCCTCTCAATCCTTATCATTTCAGACCCTGATTTCCATCTGCACGTGGGTGGACTGCTGAATCCCATCCCAGGTAAGACTTCTTGACTTAGTTGGTTTGATTGTCTTGTTTTTTTTTTTTTGTTTTTATGAAAATGCTTCTGTGCTTAAAAGCTTGCCTGAGGCTAAATCTGCCTCTGATGCTGAATGTTAAACACAAACACAACCAGACAAGATGATTTTTTTTATACGATATGAAAACGTGTTCATTCACACGGCCTCATGTTGAACCACGTTGGATTTCTTTAAATCCTACCTTTGTCCTCCTGTCTTCCTGCTGTCGTCTCTCCCGTTCCTTATTCTTTTCTCAGTCTTTTGTCATAATTTTTTTTCACTTTTCTAAATGTGATATAAAACCCTTTATCTTCTCCTTCCTGTCAGAGTCCTAGTCTCATTATTACAGTATTTCCCAAACTTTTGTTTCTGGGTAACCATATTATAAAAGTCACAAACCTTCACGACACAAGTCAATAGACATTATTCATAAACTCCTGGGAAACATGATCTGAGACGACCCAAAAAAATAAAAAACTCTTGCGACCCACCTGAGGGTCGCGACCCAGTCTTTGGGAACCAATGCAGTGTTACAGCTTCTGTTCTTTTTTTTTTTTACCTCTTTTCTCTCTGTCCTCTGCCTCTCCACAGACTGTCAGTTTGAAATCGGTGGATGGGACGGCGTCATCCGCTCCAGTCAGGTGGAAGAGGAAGAACGAGTGAAGCCTGGCGACGCCCTGGACTGTATCTGGACCATTAGGGCTCCCCCGCAGTCCAAGGTGGGTATAGCAGACATACAGGGACACTCTGTGCATGTTAACATGACAAGTTAAACGTCACAAACAAACTTCTTTTTCAATACCAAACCCCTATATGCAGTTCCTAAAGGAAGGGTGTTAAATACAAGGCCCGTGGGCTGAAAATGGCCTCCGGCTAAACAGCTGCATGTTTAACAATACAAATTGAGTCCTGTTTCTCATCGTCTTAGCAACCGACACAGGCTGCCACAGGGGGCGCCATTAAGTATGTGGTTGCAAGTAATGTTGTTATTAGAAGTGATAACATTTATTTATAGACTTTGGGACAGATCTGTGATTTAGGTTGCGTTTTGTGCACTAAACATCATAGACACGATACCACACAAAACACACGTAGATATACAGACCGTCCTGCAGCAACTGCAGCGTATATTTATTGATGGTATCAGTACATTTCCAGCTCAGTGATGTATTTTTTCTGCTATTTATGTTCTGAATAGAAAAAAAAAGACACAATATTTCATGCAGAATAAAACAACAGCCACTGCAAAAATAGCCTGCAGAATGCACAGCGTACAGTTCAAATTACATAATACATAACACACTGTCAACAGAATCACAGTGAGCAGTCACACACGTGTGTGTGTGTATGCAAATCAGTGTTAGACGTTCACACAGACGCAGATGCAGTCGGTTCACTGGACGTACACGTGCGGGGAAGAACTTCAGAAATCTGCTGCTGCTGCTGCTGCTGCTGTGTGTCTTCCTGCTCCTGCCTTTGGTCGTCACACTCAGAGACTCACACTCGTTTCTAGGCTCCCGTCCCCCCC